GACTGATATTTAGAGCCCTTCCTTCTGTTTTATGCTCTAAATTTTAATCTCTAGCATTGTCTCTTAATGTTTAATTGCAGTATTTTACGAAACAACTCATTTTCTGGGATCATCCCCGAAGGGGTCGGAGAGCTGAAGGCGTTGGAAGTGCTAGATTTTGGGTACAATAACTTCAGTGGGCCCCTTCCACCTGATCTTGGCAGTAATCCCTCACTGGCAATCCTGTGAGTGTCAAACTATTTTTATGGTCAACGAAGTTATCTTCTGCTTCTGTCAGTATAGTAACTTATTTTCTACCTATATCCAGTCTACTGGACAACAATGAGCGACTCAGAAGCTTATCATCTGAAATTCAACATCTGGAGACGCTTTCTGAATTTCAAGTAGACGAGAACGAGTTATCTAATGCAGCTAAAGGTTCATCCCGCAACAAAAGATCCATTACATGGTATGTCACTATGATCACTTGATGATACTCTCTTGTGGGTGATATCACTCTGGATGTCTGGGGCAAAATCCAGGAGATGGGTCCTTATGAGGTTGTTGTATGGGCTCTTTAGACCATGGGGTGACATTTCCCTAGTGTCTTTGACATTGAAAGGACCTCTGAATTGTTATACCTTTAGAATTTTTCTTGAGTTTATCTTGTGTTTCTTGATCTTCTTTGTACATAATGTTTTAAGTGATCCATGCTTTTATAATATAATGCCTTTTTTTTTCATTTTTTGATAGGAATCTTGTGCGTATAGAAAATGCAGTTCACAGACGACAGCTGCACAAAAAACCAAAGAACAAACATGTGACTTCTCGTCTTCCTTCTAGGACTTTCCCCCCACCACCCCCAAAAGAGTCAACTGCACCATCTACAAGGGATCCATCTGCACCACCTATAAGGAAGCCAACTGGAAATTTCTCTTCTTTAAATGGTTCTACTCCACCTTCCATTTCAGCTCCAGCTCTTTCTGACTCAAGTGCTCCCAGAACATCATCTGAATATTCCCAATCTAAAAAACATCATGGTGCAATCATAACTGGAACTATAGGGGGCACCCTAGTTATTCTCATTTCAATCCTCGGTATATACATCTGCAAAACTAACAAGGCTTCTGTCAAACCTTGGGCCACAGGATTGAGTGGACAACTTCAGAAAGCATTTGTAACTGGTAAGTCTTTCTTCTTGGTAAAATAATCAGGAAGCATTTGTAGGGACTCCATTTCCAAATTGGAAAGAAGTATTCTTGTTCCTACATCTATTCAGTAATATAACATCTGAAAACCTGAACCGGATAATAAGTAATGATATTGAGTTTGACTTAGTTGAGTTAATTTGGTGTTAATCTTGCATGCTTTTGTGATCATTACCATCATATTTCTGTATTTGATGTCATAAATGTTCAACTCTTGACCACCTACATGTGCAACTACAGACAGTGGGTCCACATCCTTTTGTTCCTCTGTTTCCTCATCCCCTTCAGTGTTTTATATTTCCATGTTCATGTTTTAACCTTGTCGTTGCACTAATATGATTTAGATTTACATTTCAGGTGTGCCAAAGCTTAAGAGATCTGAGCTTGAAGCGGGCTGTGAAGATTTTAGTAATGTAATCGGTTCTTCACCAATTGGCACACTATACAAAGGGACGTTATCTAGTGGAGTTGAAATAGCTGTGCTAGCTGTGGCATCTGTTGCAATAACATCTGCCAAGGATTGGTCAAAGAATCTAGAAGTTCAGTTTAGACAGAAGGTAATCTACGATTAACTCCCATTGAACAATACATGCTTATGGTGTGATCTGGCATTTCCTAATTGTTTTCTCGTTTTATGCTTCAGATCGAGACATTATCAAAAGTGAACCACAAGAATTTTGTTAACCTTATTGGGTACTGTGAGGAGGAGGAGCCTTTCACAAGAATGATGGTATTTGAATATGCTCCAAATGGGACGCTCTTTGAGCATTTACACAGTGAGTGAGAATCATTTGTTATTGGCATCCTTGTTGCAGAACACATACCAAAAATAAGATCTTTGTTGTTGAGATTCATTAAATAAAAACATAAAAATCATCATTCTAAGTGTGTTTGGTAAGGCAATTGAAAGTGTTTTTTCAAAGTGTGTTTCATCTGAAAATGCATAAAATTAATTTTTTAAATGCTATGATTTTGACTTTCTCATATCAAAACTAAAAAAAAAAAAAACAATAATTTTGGTGCCTTTTCAGACAAAAAGCACTTTGTAAAATCACTTTAATAAGCACCTAAACCGCAATGCTAAATGGAGCCTAATCAACTTGTAGAGTTAATGCAAAAACTTTATGAAGTATATTTTTAAAACAAATGATGTTTGCGAGTATTGCCTCATTAATATTCATATTAAAACTATTGATTTTTTTTTTCTGATATCTAGTATCCTGAATCGAATCTTTCATATGTAAATGATCCATTAACCTCCAATCTTGAGAAGATAGAGAGTGTAAAGAAAATGAATGTTGATTAAACGGAGTGCAACTTTAGGGGTTTCTTTTTCCCTTGTATGGGTTTCATCACTTTGTGAATAAGAGATATGCTTTGCTGCACCAAGGTTTTGGAAGTTTTATGCGCTTAGTATCTTGAGTTGGCCGGCAGGTCAGGCATTTGAAAATCATAATCCATCTTTAGTTCTCGCCCCTAGAAAAGAAAATTTTCTCCCCATTTGCTTTGTGTTTGGTTTTGTTGTAGATTGTAAATCTTATTATTAAGTTTCATGCTGCAGTTAAAGAATCTGAACACTTGGATTGGGGGATGCGGCTGAGAATCGCAATGGGCATGGCTTACTGCCTTGAGCATATGCACCAGCTGAATCCACCAATAGCTCACAGCAACCTGACCTCTTCGGTGATCTCTCTAACTGAGGACTATGCATCCAAAATCTCAGACTTCACCTTCTCAAATGACATAATTGCAAATGAGATGGAACTATCTGGCAAGAAGCTCCCAGATATGCCTTTGGCGCTCCCAGAAAGTAATGTTTACAATTTTGGTGTCTTGTTATTTGAAATGGTTACTGGTAGGCTACCATACTCGGTGGACAATGTCTCACTTGAAGACTGGGCATCAGACTATTTGAGAGGGTACCAACCCCTCAGGGAAAAGGTGGATCCAACTCTGGACTCGTTCGAAGAGGAAAAGCTGGAGAGAATTGGTGAAGTAATAAAATCTTGTGTGCACCCGGATCCAAAACAAAGACCAACAATGAGAGAAGTTACTGGAAGGTTAAGAGAGATAACTACATTAACACCAGATGCAGCAATCCCAAAACTTTCTCCCCTGTGGTGGGCAGAGCTTGAAATTTTGTCCACAGAAGCCAGCTAAAATATGATCGGACTGTAAGTATGAGCTCAGTTTCTCATTGTTTTTAGTTAAAGAGGCACAAAACCAGTTGCCTGTAGGTTTTTCCCCACTTGTACCTATCATATGTAAGGGAGATCAGTTACTTGTATATACCCGAGGTGGTGTGTCTCTCTCCCCCTGTTCTATACATATATATGTAATTTCTTTCTTTTTTAGGTTGGAAATTGGCTGGGAAATGAGCCATAGAAGCACAACCACACGTCAATCAGTTAATATTCCATTTGTTCTTTACTTGCTCCTCCTCTCCTCTCTCTATCTTTGACTTGTTGAATTCTGATGGTGATGGACTTCAGCTGAAGATAAGAGGCATAGAGCAAGCAGTGCCAGATTAGTTCTTTTTTCCTTTAACCACAGTATGACGATTCAAAGTATCCGTCTAAATAAACATACTGTATTTGTGATGACTCTGGCTGCCAAAATAAAATGTAAAGATCAGCGATTGCCCCTGTCACAGCTGCGTCTGGGGCTGCGGTCAATGCTCAACACGGTGGCTTTCTCTCATCCCAGTGGATTTTGATTACTTTTCCAAAAATGCATGGAAGTGGCTGCCCTTTTTAATTCTCCTGCTTCTAAACAAGGTGAAAGACCTAAACATGTAAGATGTTCATAAATATAGTAATATGTTTTTAAATTTTTTTTATCATAAATCTAATATAAAAATTTCCTTAATGATGGTTTTTACTTTGAATAAAATAAAATAAATATTTTGTAATTAGATTGTCATGAATACAAAATATTAAAAGATCTATTATAAATTAAATTGTAGTTTTGATTTTTTATGAAAAACAGTTGTAGCTTTGATTTTTTTTATTTTTTTATGAAAAAAATCATTTTCATTCTCAATAATTGAATGCATTTTTTTACTTTCTATTGAAAAAAAAATGAAAATAATTTTATAGCGGTACACTCACCATTGTCTTTCAAAACTCAATCGTGCTATACATGGAAGAAAAGTTAAAATTGTTTTAGTATTGTAATAACAATTGAATTGATTTTCAAAGTGTTTCTTATTTAAAAATTTATTAAAATAATGTTTTTATTTTTTAAATTTTATTTTTTATATTATTACATCAAAATGATTTGAAAACACATAAAAAAATAATTTGAAGTAAAGAAAAAAATAAAAAAATTATTTTTTAAAAAATGCAAAAACAAATAATAAAAAATTATCATCTCTTATTATTAAAACTGCAACCAGGATATACTACTTTGGTTTTCTGCATTACAAAGGGAGGGAAAAAAACAAGAAAGAAGGGTATGTTCTTGACATTCTCGAAATACCAGTATACAGATCTTTATGGATCAAAAGGAATTAGCACAACCATAAACAGTAGGCCCAAGTCCACAGCGCTTTTGAACATATTTTACGGGAAAAAAACCTAAAATCTGTTTGAAAATCTGCAGGCCGAAGAATTCTCCACAATCATTGTGGTGGTGGGCACATGCGAGGGTTCAATTATTCCCACCTGTGAATCTTGGGCTCCATTCTTTCAAGCAAATAGGGGCAAAAATCATGCATCTTCTTGCTTTTCAGAACAAATAAGATACTGCATAAATCTCTCTCATGCGACCAAAAAAAAAAAAAATGGAAGGCGTATTTCTTTCTTCGTGTTATTTTTTATTCAGGAAGGAAGGTAGTCTTCACGTTAACAAGCTTTAAAGGATCGAAGTTAGTAGTTGACATGCCGTAATTTAGTAGTCCCCACGTCTATCAAAATCTTCAAACAGAAATATGATGATGGACAACAAATTTCCAGTGCTTATAAATATACTTGCATATTCATATCTACCCTCACACAATTACAAATCACTTTTGCTCTCTGCTTAAGCTGCAACAACCTCCACAGAGAATATGGCAAGCAACCAGCTTACAATTGTCATCTGCTCTCTCTTGCTGCTCCCATTAGCCTTCCTTTCAACAGCTGCCTATGATGAAACCACTCCAACCAAGCCGGTAGAGAAGAAAGTCGATGTGGTGGTTGAAGGCATGGTCTATTGCCAAAGCTGCAAGTATTCTGGATCATGGTCTTTGACAGAGGCCGAGCCAATCCCTTCAGCTAAAGTCAGTGTAATTTGCAAAAATTTCAAGAAAGAAGTCACTTACTACAAGGCATATGAAACCAATGCATATGGTTACTTCTACGCACAACTTGATGACTTCAAGATGAGCAACAATATTTTGGACCATCCCCTCCACGGTTGCCATGTAAAACTCGTTTCATCTGCTCTTGCAAACTGCAGCCTCCTCTCCAATGTTAACTATGGACTTTATGGTGCTCCACTTCGATTCGAGAACAAGGTGTTGCGAGGAAGTAATTACGAAGCTGTGATCTATGCTGCAGGTCCCTTGGCTTTCCAACCAGCTCAATGCGCTCCTGAAACTCATGTCTGATATTACTGCTCTTTCACTATCTTTTAGCTCGTGACCAATCTTCATCTCGGTTTTTATTCTTGTTTTGTTCCCTCCCCTGTTGATTTCAACTATAATCTAGGAATGGTGGCTATCTGTTCCATTTATTCAACGACTTTGTTTCCTTTGCATGAAGTGCTACTTCTTAACTATCACAATGTTGTTGTAAGCTATTTCTTTTTCTTGGCTGTATTTGTGAAAGTATTATAATGGCATAGATCACGCCACGATGCAGATGAAGATGATCAATCGTCATTTTGGTTTTGATTTTTGTTTCAATCCCTCTTCTGTTGATTTTAGCAGTTTTATCCGGCAATGGTGGCGATTTGTTGTATTTCTTCAATAAATTGAATTCCCTGGCATAAAGAGTTGCATTTTATCTATTACAAAGTCGTTGTTTAAATATTTCTTTCTCTAGGGCCCAGGCTGTATTTGCAGACATCACGAGGACTCTGATTGACAGATCACAGCACAATGCAGATGAAGATAATCAGCTGCAACTGGAGATTGGAATAAAGATAGTACAGGCAAACGCTAAACCACATTCGAAGATTTTGATATGAAGCATAATCAAAGAGATCAAATTTTAACGAATTCAAGCACATGGCAAATGTTGTGGTAAATCACAACACATTAAATAAGCTACAGATTGAAATCTTATGTGCCATTAATAATAACTGTTCCTAAAAGTCCAATGGCATTCCAAACATTTTATTTATGTCATCCATGGCCGCTTTTGTAAAAGCTGTTGGCTCAAACAAATCAGTGTTGCTTACTCTGGAGGGCTTGGATGGTGGCTGACCTCGTTGATGTTCCAGATCATCATCAGGAAGTATTGAAAATCCGCAAATGTCTTGTTTCATAACTGGTGTTTTATCCTGCTGTGGTCTCTTGGTTCTTACAAAATCCATTGGTTTCCCAAACATGTTGTTGATATCATCCATAGCCTCCTTCAAATTGACTGTAGGATCTACTAATCCGTGGTGGCAAACATTCTCCACCGCCGCCGCATCTAAGATGGTAGATCTGACAAACCTGTGAACAACTGTATCCTCTCTATGCTTTATTCGAGGCAAGCTCTCATCATCCATATAATCAGAGTTTCCACTCGGAAGATCCTTCGGACTTGGGAAGACAAAGGCATTTAAAGGTAAAGCAGATGACCAAGAACCTTCTGTCAGATTTCGAGTCTTACTCTCCTTTAATTTATTCTTCAGAGTTCTGTCACCATTTTCACCGCTTTCTTCATCATCAATGAATATTTGAAATGGTTCTTGATGAATCAAGGGGATTTGAGCTCTACCATGCACCTTCAGGGAAATACTCTTTTCTTTTTTTTGATGCAATGATTTGGTTCCATTGTCCAAATTTTCATCAATAAAGACATCAAATTCACTGTTCAAACTATGCTCTTCTCTTGGTCGACTTCTGTGTGAGCTACTTATTGGAGCAATCTCTAAAGGCTCGCGAAACATGCTATTGATGGCATTCATGGCCTCCTTCATATTTACTGTAGGGTCCAGGAGTCCATGATGGCAGGCATCTTCTGCTTCTTGTTTCCCAACTATTGCAGTGTCTACAAACTTTACCACAACAGTGTCATCTCTGTGACACATCTTGGATTCATCTGACTCTCGTGTATCCTCTTGCAGCTTAGATGCATCTCTCTGTCCAATCTTTTTCACATCCTCCTTCTTCGTGGACAGATCACTACCCAAGCCAAATTCACATGAATTTCCTGAAAATCCAACATGATTAGATTCCTTCATTGGCTTTACATCCTGAGAACTCCCATCCGGTATCTTTTTAGGTCTATCCTCGATTCTGTATACATTCTCATCGTTCTCTTCTGTCTTCCTGGCAGGTAGAGGTCTTTTACCACTCCTTCCTGTCTGGTGCTGCAAGACCTCTGTGAAAAGTTAGATGACAGAAGACCTCCACGAATAATGAAGGCAAGTCAACATCTAAAACAAAGTGAGCACCACCTGGATGTCCTTTTTCTTGTGTCTCTCCATGCGATGAAGGAACTGCTCATATGATTTCTGCAATTCATCAACAGGCTCGGCGAGGCTGTTCAGAAGTTGTTTCAGATGGAGGATATTGCTTAGTTCTATTTTCAAAAGAAAAAATCATATAACACCCAAAACCATCAAAGGGCTATGTAACATAATGAAATACAAAAGTTATTATTTTATTAGATGAGGTATTTGGCAAGTTGCAATTCTTTTTGTGATGCAATAAAGCTAGTAATTAGCAGCCATAATTTGTTCTTTGCATGGTAGAGGTAGATGGCCAAATAATGAATACGGTTTTCATTATGACATGAGTTCAGAGTAAGCTTATATTGATAGGAAGGGGAGAACAAAAAAAAAACAGAACAAAATATAGCTTCTAGCACTCCCTCAGGAACCAAGAGGTGAAGCCAATCACATGGACAAAATGCAAATACTCAGTAAACTGACTGCATTTTGTAGTCCATTTAGAAAGAAAAAAAATATATATGAGAGTGCTCAATCAAGCCAGCTGCTTCAAATGAAAGGTGAAAGTGGCTAAGAAACCCAGTTGAAAGGGCAAGAGGCTTTCAGCTAAGCTCGTAATCCACTATTTTCTCAGAAACCTTGACATGCTCAACCTTTAGCCAACAGGTAAGAGTAGTCCCACCTGAAAACTACATTGCCGCGCAAAAAAAAAAAACATGCCCGCTGTCTAGATGCAGAACTGGGAAGTCACTAAACTGCTAATTGGCCTCATACTTCCAAAGGGTTGCGTTACAAAATCCATGTACCACTCATTCAGATGTGTTGTAAGCATTTACTGATAATGTGAAGTAGAACTAAACATCAAAGGTCCTCTTCCATTCAAATATTGAGATATATTTTGAAATGTAGTTAACTTACTTGTGAACCCCTAAACGGTACATGTTCTCAGCCTCTTCAAATTTCTTCGTCTTCTCATAATACAGAGCATATGCCTGGTAGAATAACGACCGCTTTGTTCCTATGCGATTCATTTCCATGGTGCTCAACAGCGCTCTTGGATCATTCACATAATCCATCTACTCAATCCCATTCAAAATAAACAAATAACCAAAATTACAATGATAAAATACAGCCAGTCTTTCTTAACATTTAATACACTTTTATTTTCTCCGATTTCATTTCTTTTCCGTTTGCCCATTTTACTCAAACACCAAAAAAAACAGAGAAATCAAGCAAGAAAATAAACAGCCCAGGTTCAAAAATCAGAGTTATCTAATAAACCAATCCAAAACCCAATAAATTAGACAAAAACATAAAAAAAGGGAAAGAGACGGGTTCTGAAATTCACCAGCTGTAACCAAACACGAAGGTAGCGCAAGTCATTTCTGTAACGCCTATCTGACTCAAAACTCTGTGTGCATTTTTGCAAGAAACGAGGCAGCTTTTGTTTCAGTGTATCCGGAAGCAGACACTCCTTCAGTTTCTTAATTCCCCTGTTTAAGAACAGATAATGAAGTTTGGTTAACAAAAGCAGCGGCAATATTATTATTAAAACAAGCAAAGAAGAGAAAAGAGAAAGATTAGGAGTACCGGAGCCAAGGGACAAGAGGGTCATTGCCAGTGTAAGATTTGATGTCCGATATCAAAGAAGAGAAGAGATCATTGTGTTTGTGGGTTATTGACTTCTTTGTTTCCATTTGGAAATACAAGAGTTGATTAGTTGCTTTGTTTTGTAGATATCACACCAAGTTAAGTTGAAAAAAAGCAACCGGAGAGAAGAAGACGGAGGAGCGGAGGATTGTGGTTTCTGAATTTTTTTTTTATGAAACTACTATATCACAGTATAGACCTATAACCTGTCACTTGTTCATGGCTGAACTTGAACGGGTTCGATATGGGTCTGGGTCAGGCTAGACTTATTTTTAGAAGTCCAAAGCCCGGGCCGACCATGTTATTCAGGCTGGTTCATAAGCCCGGACACTGCCCGTGATACTGTAGCCATGCAAAAACCACGATCAAGAGCACCAAACAAAAGCAATCGCGAATCTACATTGTTATCAATTTTCTTATCAAGTTCATGCATCACTAAGACCTTCCCCGTCAATTCCTTCAAATCATTGAAAAACTAGAGCTTGTTCACCTACGATTGGGATTTTTCACTGAATTAGAACATCGATCGATATTATATATCCCATTTTGCATGTGCAAGATCCTCTAATGGATCGTATATTTGTTTAAACTTTTTCGAGTACTCACCCTCCATTTTATGGACAGGAAAGGAGAAAGAAAACGGTGATCGGTCGCTGAGGGCGTGATTTGAGAGAAAAAGTTCAAACAACCGATCCCATAGAAAATAATATTAAAAAAAAGTTAAAAAACAATTCAAATATATTTAAGTTAATTTATCAAATTTATAATTTAATTATAAAATTTGAAATAATTTTAAGAAAAATCAAATTAAATCAAATTATAAAATTAATTTAGTATTAAATAAAAAATAAAAAAAAATGATTGAAGAACCTATAAAGCAGAGTTAACTCAACCTAATTATTTAAACTTGTAATTTAGATCATGAGATTAAGATTGTTTAATGAAAATAAATCTGAAAAAAAAAAAAAGTCAGATTCATAATCAACTAGATGATAAGAGATAAAAATAAAAAATCAATAAAAAAATTAAAACAAAACAAGCAACAACCAAAAAAGCAAAAACAATAACCTGAAATTATAAATAAAATGTTGATAGGTGAAATTAAAAAAATAATTAAAAAATAATTTAAATAAAAAAAGCAATAAAAAACAAGAACAAAATTTGACCTCATTAAACCAAATGTTAAACGGTAAATTAAAATTAAAAAAACTTAAAATAAAGAAAAATATCAATCAAAATAACGATAATTAAATTTAAAACAAAAATAAAATGTCAAAACACCTTTTAGTTTTTGAATCTTAAAGAGATAGTAGAGAAAAGATGAAGAAAGAGAAATAAAAGAAAAGCACATCATCACCTTATCATGATTGATCATGGTAAGTGACCTTATACATTATTTGTTTGTGATGGATAACTCATGTATGCTGGTGCGTGTAATACACATGTCAATTACTTTACCTTGTTTGTTTACCATCATCCATTGTATTTATTTTAATTTCAATTCTAATTTTTTAACTCTTAGTTGTTTAAGATAAACATGATTTTATTTTATTTTTTAAAATCAAACACTAAAATCTCGTCATGAGATTGCAAGAACTCCATGTCCAGGCATTTAAGATAAAAATACTAAATCAAATCTCAAATAAA